GCTCTTATGAAACGTCATAGAGCCAGGTCTTAAGGCTCTTATGAAACAGCCAGGTCTTAAGGCTCTTATGAAATGTCAGAAGGGTGGAGCCAATCTCACTTCAGGGGATAAGAAGTTCCAGAAGGCGGAGCTATGCCAGAGAAGGCTCTTCTCCTGGAGCCTGCCAGCCCAAATTCCTTGGCTGATGGGATCTGCAGTATGGCCCCTCTGCCAGCACAGGTGGGGTGGGCCAGTCCCTTCAGGGTGAGATGGTTCATCTCTCTTAGTTTAAACCACAACAGTACAATAAAAAAGGAATAATTTCTAAAATCTTTGTAATGAACTTTCTGCAATGGCACAGACTCCAAAGGAAGCAATTTGTAAATATGCTCCTGGCAAATAATTTCTGAATATACTATACCCATAAATTTCTAGATGTGCCCTTGCCCCAAAAAGTTTGCTAATTTGCAACATCCAGTGGACTAACTGCAGACAAATATAGCAAGTACTAATATTCTTCATCAAATCTTAATCAATATACTCCTTACTATCAGGCCTTTACTTGCAACACTTTCTATTCAGATAACAGATAACAGATAATCAGAGTTGGAAGAGACCTTGTAGGTCATCTAGTCCAACCCCCCGCCCAAGCGGGAGACCCTACACCATTTCTGACAAATGGCAGTCCAATCTCTTCTTGAATGTCTCAAGTGCTGGTGCTCCCACAACTTCTGAGGGCAACTCCTGTTCCATTGGTTGAGTGTTCTCACTGTCAGAAAGTTTCTCCTTATTTCCAGGTTAAATCTCTCCTTGTTCAGTTTCCATCCATTATTCCTTGTCTAGCCTACAGGCGCTTTATAAAATAGCTTGACCCCTTCCTCCCTGTGGCAGCCTCTCAAATATTGAAAGACCGCTATCATGTCTCCCCTAGTCCTTCTCTTTACTAGACTAGCCAAGCCCAGTTCCTGCAACCGTTCATTGTATGTTTTAGCCTCCGGTCCCTTAATCTTCCTGGTTGCTCCTTTCTGCACTTTTTCTAGAGTCTCAACATCTTTTTTATAATGTGACCAAAACTGGATGCAGTACTCTAGGTGTGGTCTTACTAAAGCTTTATAGAGTAGTATTAGTACCTCACTTGATCATGATTGTATCCCTCTGTTAATGCAATTTAGGATTACATTGGCTTTTTCGGCTACTGCTGCACACTGCTGGCTCATATTTAGCTGGTTGTCCACTAGGACTCCA